TCAAGCAACAAAGTCAGGTTAATTGCAGTCACTTTTACATTCACCAGCAACTTACAGAGTCAGCGCACAGTAACAATTGGCTGTGAAATGAGAAAAGGCGCCCCATCCCTGGAATTGGGCGAGAGATAACAAATGTGAAAGGATTGAATGCAAATACAGATAAATAAAACCTAATAGAAAACACCGCCTAAATTTAATGTAACAACCATTCGACCTCATTAGCTGAACATGTTCTTGTCATATTTCTTCAGTAAATGCTTTCATGCAAGACAGGCACAATGAATATGCTACCACTTGTACCTACAGTGAATGGAACTTAAGAATACACTGCAGATACACAACACTGCATAGTAAATAGATTTAAATCCTTTTTTATAAACTAAAAAATCCATTTTCAAGAAAAAAAACATGTTAATAGAAACAAGAATATGGGCCCAATTTATTTTTTTTAAAGTAGGTGTTACCATCCTGCTAAGGATCTTTTATGTGTGTAATAGTTTAGATATAGGGTATATATTTAGCTTAAAACAACAAGAAGTATTTATGTGGATGCAAGTCAGTTGCAATTATGTGAGCATTAAAACAAATGAGAAAAGCAAATATGGGCACAGGAGAAACATTCCTTTTAAGCTTACTGAAGAAAAAAAACCAGACCATGTGATTAAAGCTGGTGTTCACTAGTGTTCCTTTTCGTTAAAGAAGCAGACATCTTTCTTTGGACTAGAGTTAACAGGGCAAAAGTACCAAGGTTAGGAACTTATTTTAGAGAAGGAAGATGCCATTGCTTAATATTATAAGATGGTAAAAGATTATATGAGTAGGTATGATATTACATGAAATCTTTACCTGTACTTGCTTGATAACCACTGAAGTCTTCCATAATATGTAAACTTTCTAATAATCATACCATAACATGTATGACTTTCTGATTTTACTGGTCAATTAGAATATTAATCCTCCTTTCAAACAACATATTCAACTTAGGTTTCACTTGTAGGCTCAAGTCATTTTATCCTAGAAATATGAGGTTTAGACCAAATAATATAACTACTCACAGTCCTACTGTTTGGAAAATGTGCTTCTCATATTGCATTTCTCATAAGTAAAAGAGATGAAAACTTTTAATGTAGTGTAACAAAATCTGAACCAAAATAAAAACTTTTTTATTTATCTGCAGACGAAGAGACTGAGGTGGAAGAGGTCTGTTTGTTTTTCAAAGGGCAATTTTACTATAACATATATCTTAAAATTGTACAAGAAAAGAGAGTGGTAAATAATTCTAAAGGTGTTCATTTATATGTATATATGTATGTATGTCTGCATGAGTATGTTACCATTATTTCTTAATGCACATGGGAAACTATTTGGAGGTATGCCCAATCCAGCTTCTCAGTGCTGTGCATATTATATCTACATAACAATTATGGAATCATAAGTATTAATAGCATTTACTAAATGCTAAGCATAAACATAAGAACAAACAGGTGACCATTTCTAATTTCCTTTAAAAATAACCAGAATAAGTGTTTATAGGATATGTGCAGATAAATGAAGCACTAGTAAGAGCATACTGACTAGATTTTTAAAAATATGATCACCTGAAACACCTTCAAAGCAGTACATTCTCATAAAACATTCAGAAAGATTATTTGACTTAATGAATGCTCAAAATGCAAGCTCAAATCTACACTGCAAAGCAATCAAGTTTTTAGCAACTATTTTGACCTTACTGACACAAACAATTAATTCTGCAAACCTGATATCAAAATAAAATTCTACATCTAATGCAGAATAATTTTTCAATGTATTTATTCTAAAACAACATTAGGAATATGTTACTTCTATTTATTTTACATTCTGATATTTAAAACTCATTTTATAAGATTAGAAAAACTAAATAAAATAATTTGTATGTAGTAGGCTGTGAAAAATTTTCCAAAGAATGTAGAATAGATTTTTTTAAAGTGACCATATTGAACAGATCAATTATATTTACTTTTTTAAAAGTTAAAGACGTTACATTCCAGTTTTTAGAAATATTCAAAAATCTAAAATTAGATTCCAAGGAAATCTCTCTATCTGTCACACACACACACACACACACACACACACACACACACTCTCTCTCTCTCTCTCTCTCTCTCTCTCTCTCTCTCTCTCTCTCTCTCTCTCTCTCCCCTGGGAGTTTGGGACACTACCCAATACATTTATCACTAAAGATATGTTATACTGGCATTTTCCCCTTGATAATGAAGAAGGAAGGCCATAACAACCTGCTTTAAGTCAAACTACCTAGCATGCATATGCATATGTGTCTGTGTGTGTGTGTGTCTGTGTGTGTGTGATTCATTGGGATAAATGTAGAGCTTTTATCAGTCTGATGGACAGAACACATTCTATCTAAATTACAAGGAAAAGAAAATTGTACTTGTTTACCTTTTCACCTACCACAAGAAGTTCATGATTTCACTGAGAAAGAAGAGATTTTGGGTAAGAACTCACTGGTCCTACATTATGATTTTATTCTTTCTAGTACAAAAACATTAACCTGAATGTTAAATTTCCAAAAGCATAAATGCAAGAGAAATTTGGGATATTATCTCAAATTTTCACTCCATTAATCCACTTCAATCTATTTTCATTACTACTTTCAGTTCTAAGGAAAGATGCTTATTAAAAAGCACTGACAAACATTTTGAGTTAATTACACATAAAAGACAAAACTACAATACTTATCATTTTTTGAAAAAAAGGCCCACAGAAAAGAAACTCACAGAATAGCAAAAATTAAAAGCATCAATTTGTATTTCAATGGTACTTATAAAAAAGATAAACACAAAAAGAAATATGCAAGTTATTAGCAGTTTAGCACACTGATCCTGAAACTTACTAAACTCAGCTAGTAAAAGTTAAATTAGAGTTAGTGATACCCCAAATTGTGAAAGGTTTAATTCACATTCAGCAGGAACCTGCAGAATGTGAAATATACCCCTAAACTTTCTGAGTCACCTAAAGGACATGACTTTTTGTGCCTACTCATTTGTTTCACAGAGGTTGTACAGGGCAAAGCAAATGATAAACTCAGGCTATATCTAAACCTTATAGACCCCACTAAAATGTCTCCAGAGTCCCATTTCATTTGCCTATGATTTTGCTCTGTCTGCTTATTTAACATCTAATCACAGCTTTAGGAAAAAGGAATCATTCCTTGGCCTCTCTACAGAACCTATCTGCTATTTCATAGTACTCAGATGAATTTTTTTTTCTTCAATTGTTATTTTCACTAGTCTTTGCAGACAATGTCTGGTCGAATCTCTGACAATATGGAAAAAACACTGGCTATGCAGACTTAAGGCTGCTACTTAGAGGAACCAATAAAGGGCATACTACAGTACTCTGCTGATGTGTTTTGAACTGCAAACAATTTGAAGCAGAAGGAAAATGAACTATACAAAAGCACTGGCTTTATTTACAGTAGTCTATAAAATGAGCTAATCCTAGGAATTTAGTAGGCATTTAAAGCATATGATGTGAAAAGGTATCTAAAAGAAATTAAATTTTTCATCCTAATAATATAACATGTTACATAGGTTTAAAACAACTGAAAGCTTATGCAAAGTGTTATATACAGCTGTTAAAATAGAATATTCAGCAAAACAGTGCCCAGGTGTAAGACATTAACAACTTCTCAGATTTCAGACTAACTTTTATTTAGAAAATTGTGTTTTTACCCCTATTTCAATTATTTTTCAATCCATTTCTGATAAAATTCACATTAATCTCTCATTCAGTATCTTCTTCTGTGATATGAGTTATCATTTATAAAGCACTTAGCACAGTGTCTGACACATAGTAGGCACTATATAAATGCCTATTCCCTTTCTCTTCCCCTTTTATATTCTTTAGGGAGTCCAACTTGACCTACTGTCACTGAGGCCCAAGAAGATGTGGATATTATTATGTCTTTTATATTATGAAACTTTTCCAAAAATATCTGTTCTATCAGAAATTTTAGATAAAGTTACTCATTTAACAGAAATTCCTGTGTTTACAAAAGAAAATGCAAAATAGTATAGACTTTCTGGCCTACCAAAGAATATGCTTTTAAGTTATCTGTCCTCTGTCATTGTTCCTGCAGTTCCAAGAAAGGGAAGGATGAATTACTATTTTTAGACTGAAAACAAAATTTAAGGTTACAATTGAAATCTGAAAAAAAGCAGGCAGTTTAAAATAAATGCTACTTTCATTCAGAAGCTGGTTTTTTTTTTAAAGACTTTTAAAAGAATAACTACATCTTATGGGGCACCAGAGGCAAAAGAATAGAAACAGTTAAAGACAACCAAAGACAGCAAATACTTAACAAACTCTGACATTTCTACTGCCACGCAGAGAAGAATTTTTAGGGACAGGTACACAGATGATCTATGTGTTCACAACACTAGTTAGTCACTATTAAGTAAACAATAACCAGTATTTCTAACCATCGAAGAGGAACATCTGTGTGGGGAGAAGTCCTTGTGGTCCTTTTCACCTCAGCTCAGACTTGGGAACAATTCATTGTATGAGAAAGTATCAAGTAAGGAGGCCCTCTGGTGGAAAACGAAGGATCACATTCGACAGCCCAGGAGCACTAGACAGTAAACCAGAAGCCCTAAAAACATTGATTACAAACCTTTACAGAATCTTCTCTAAATTGTCCTATGCACTTAATTAATAAGATGATACATTAAGGGCACTCTCAGGCTGCTGGGATGATGTAAGTGATAAGAAAATAACACCTTTGCTTCCAGTTCCAATCTGCTCCAAATGAGACCAAGTCAACCCCTCTGCATTCTGGAAATTAATACATAGAAATCTAATAATAATTAATTAATATATTAACATATTATATACACATATGTGTGTATATAACACGCTAAATGTCCTAGGACCAGAATCTTCCCAATTGAGGAAACAGCCTGGTTTGTTTTTAAGGAAACAGTGAGCAAAACAAAACTTACCTGCTGTTGTTGCAGATGCAGCAGTTCTACTGTGCTTACTTCTGTGCTGGTGTCACCACTTGATCTTCCATCTCTGCTGCCAGCATCTAATTGGCTGCTTAGAGTGCTCATTCCATTTTGATTCATTGAACTGTTGCTTATTGTCTCTGTCGCAGATTCCTGCATCATGACTTAATACCTAAAAGTGATTAAGAAGTATCAATTAACACCCGTTACACCTTCACACTTCCATTATCAAGATGGCCCTCTCTGCCAATTACAGAGACAGCATCTTTAGAAGGGTGGGGTGTGTGTGTGGGGAAGGAAAGCACTGCATAGTCATTTACCAAGAAATGTAATACAAATTCAGCTTTCATCCAGATACTAATCACTGAAATTATGGTTTCTATAAGCAATCTTTGTGTGGTTACATTTAACAGCCAAAATAACATACCATGCATGCAGCATGGTCAATAGCATTTATGAACGAATACATTTTAAAGTCTACCTATAAAACCAGTTTAAATGAAGGCACGAGTGCACAGACTGCTCTATATTTCCTATTATCTACCTTTGACAACCATGGATGACTATACAGCCTTATTTAAAATATTCACTATCTTGATTCTGTCAGAATTTTACAGCATATCTTATGCAAGGCTGTTGTTTAATGATGCACAGCTAATCATACAAAATTAAAATTTTGTAAGGGTGTTACAAATCATATGGTATCAACCAATGATAAATAGTATAATGGGCTTCTCCTTTTTTGTGACTAAATAAAATTTTGCCTTGGAGGCATTTTAAGAAAAAGCTCCTGCTGCAAACACGTCAGATATTGCCTATTTTTTTAATCAAACAGCTCATATTCATTTATTTTTCTGACATTTAAAACATTTAATACTGTCCTTCCTGGGAAGTAATTAAGCTTATGCATGAGCAGCAATCAAACTGTTCACTTGAAGATGACTTAAAACTCAATTTTAACATAGGCAAATAAATGAAAGATATAAAATTAATTTTCCAGGCATGTATTAGATATGAAAGCTGGAAATAAAATCTATCAAGAATATCACTAATGATTGTGCTAAAAACAGCATAAATTATGCATATTACCTTCTCTACAGTAATAAATGTTTTATCATTTTCACTGCATAAATATACTGTACTTTCAGGATAGCAATGAGATGTCCTGCCAAGATCAGTTGAAATCCTTGCAGTAAATAAAGGAGCAATGTGCCCTTACAAACCAGAATTTTAAGGTGCATTTTGCATCTGCAATCTGAAAAGGTCAATTTTGGCTCTCAATGATACCTAAATCCACTATTATGTTCTAATGGTCTAACCTAGAACAACAACAACAAAAACTTCAATCCTCTGTACCCAAGAATTCTGGAAAACAACCTTGCTGAGCAGGCACTTTAATGGTAACTAAATAGATACACAGCATACTTAGGTTTAGATGTGGAAATAAAGATCATTACATCTTTATTAGGCTACTCTCTTACTTTCAGCTTGGCCATAGATTATATATTCTTTCCGTTTTTATTAAAACAATGAATTTACTATAAAGTAAATGCAAGCTTAATGTTCCTTCATATGGCATACAACATCCTCCCTAACATCTTCTCCACGACACATTCAAGTGTGCACACATACACATACACACACACATACATATATATTTACACACACACACACACACAAACACATACACATGCACACCCTATACTCTACAGCATTTTGAATGCTAATCCAAACATGTACTTAAACTTATGAGTTCTGATAGGCATTTTGATGGAACCTGAGAAATGCAAGACTATTTCCACTCTAGTAACACTAGAGAAGAGCTACCAAATTCCATTGTATCCAAATGCTTTTGCTACTAGGTTAGGTGAAGGAAGTTATAATCTACATTGCATAGACTCTTTAAGTGTGTTTGGATCAAGAATAAATGGGATATGAAATAAAATAAACATGAAGATAGTTAACATACAGAAGGGCAGCTGCTCCAACTACAGTAAACAACTTCTGAACCAGATGTGTTTATGAGCAAACAGTCCTTGTTAAACATCCTATTGAACGTTAACTAAGAAAAATAATACAAATGAAAAATGTGATACACAGAGTGATGAATTTTACAAGAAGAAAACAAAGCTAATACTCTTTTCCGAGATTAGGCAGCTAATAAGTATTCAAATTAGGCATAAATTTTACATGCACAATGTTTAAAATATTCAGAGAAAAGGGCCTGATTGCCCTTACTAGTTATATGAAAATTCTAATGTGGGTCCTTTCCCAACTGTAGAAGCAGATATCCGTTTTGTTTGTAAAAAAATTTGAGTTCAATAAAACATCTGGAATACATAGTGGTATAGAAATATACTTAAGTATGTATTTTTCTCTCTCTAGCAGAGTTTATAATTCAGGAAAAGAAAGACATTAAAGTATTACATTATTAAATAGGGAGGATAAGTTCAATACTGTAAAATTGATTTTTTTTATCAATATATGTCATGATCAATTGGTTGTGTTAAATAAATCTGGATTTTTACATATATCCTATATCATAACCTGCAGGACGTGAAAATTAACCAGATATTATATGTCTGAACCTCTCGTTACAATTATTAGAGAATACTGATATTCTTTTCAATTCACATTAACAAAAGGGTTCTCTTGTTTAGTGTAGAATTTGTGTCTTTGTGAAATCTTAAAATGAAGTTCAAGGGGAACATTATAAATTAAAATATCTATCAGCTAACACTATCAGGTTTATGAAAAGAGGACTAGAAATGATACTTTTACTAGGGAAAAATAGCAGGATTTGACCTAATATTCATATGCACAGATAAGAGCAATTATGAAATTATACTATTAATCAGGTAATTCACTTGAATGAGAAAATTTGGGAGTATAGTCACTTGAAGAAGGCATTTGTATTGTAGTAAAGCAGACATTTCAAGTGTTTACTAACTTCTTCCTGGTTAGAGCGAGACATTGTCTCCAGCAGGAGTGGATATACTGAGGTATAATAAACAAAATGTCAGAAGAGGGTTCATATCTGATAGCAGATTTTGAATTCATCCTAAATTAAACTATATATGCACTTTCAAAGTGAATGCATTTGCAGTGATCCAAAAAGTCTTCACTGAAGAGTGAACTAGGGTTTTAGCTTCAGGTACCAAACAGGAATTGAACAAAGATAGGGAAAATAATTTTCTGCTTAATAAAGGAAAAGCAGAGTTTAGGGATTATCGTTTTATTGTTCGATTACATTGCTATGGCAAAACCTCAATTCTACCATCATAGACAAGTGATCAGCTGACAGAAAATGACTCTTCAGCACTTGAACTGGAATGATACAGTTTTACTTTTCTTTCTTGCAGTTTTTTCTTTCTTTCTTTCTTTTTTTTTTTTTAGCAAGTCATTGTACAGATACTTATTCTCTACACCACTTCCCTTTTGAAACATTAAACTGACACTGGAACTGACTGCACAAGATTGCATTTTCTCTTCCTAAACAACTTGAATTGAAAGGTTACTTAGTGTAACAATATTTACTTGCAGAATTGTGTTGTTACCAAGGGTATAATGGATGGTGGCTATGCAGGTTTACGCAAGGATGGGTGAAGCATGAGGCATTAGCCATGTGTTTGACATGTTTCAAATTGCTATAATCCAGCATTAAACACACCCAGCAATTCATGCCATTTCTTGCAGCCATAATCTTGAATAAAGCGTGCACAACCACTTATTATATAAATTAGTATATGACTCCCTGTTATAGTCACAACAGCGCTTTTGTGTTTATTTTGCATCAAGATGTGGTCTTTTATTTGTACAAATAGCAGGATATAAAGACATAGCTCAATTAGACCTCCTTACTTTATGATAGGGTAGTACTGAATGCTAGACTTGGTGGTTTTATTTTTTTTCCCTGGAGTTATGGGTTCCGTTGGCATAAAACCGTACTATGGGAAATATTTATTTGCCTCAATGATAACAGGAAGCTTCTTGCATCCTCCCATCCTATATTCATTACACTGTACAAAAGTTTAGCACAACACCTGGACAAGTACAGGTAACAGTTATCTCAACAATCACCAGGTAACATACCCTGTTCCTTACTACTTACCCAGATCACCTTGCCTGCCCCGCCTCTGTCTGTCTCTGACAGACAGACATACACACCCACACACACCCACATCCCATACACCCTCACCTCTGATGCCTCTGTTAGAAAATATACAGGACTATAAAGATGTTGCTTAGTGCCTTAATTTTTACCAAGATAAACTACATAGTTTTTTAACACCAACTTCTAAAGTAAGGGAAAAAAACTATCCACATAAATTGATTCACCTTCCCCCATGAACATGATCATTCTTTATTAAAGAAGCTGGATTTCAATAACTATACATTAAATAAAATAAGGATGTCAAGATGGTTCTTAGCATTATTCTATATATTTTCTTTTCCAAATTTGATATTAAAAGAAAAAGAAAAAGGATCCTAGGAGATCTCAACTATTTGGTTTTAAAAGCAAATATTTGTACCTACATACAAAAGTTCTTGGATACAAATTTTTGAGGCACTTCAATTTTAAAATGATAGTGGTTGGTATGTATGTTCTTAAGTGCTTTCTTTTTCAAACTTAACACTCTTTACAAAGGTGGCTATACAGGTTTCTGCAAGAATAAGTGATGCATGAGAGAAATTCACAAATTTAACACAGAAGTCATGTACCTCTAGCTCCATAATAATTGTTCTAAAAATTCTGATGTTCCAAACTTGATTGTGATGTAAAGGTTCAGAAAAAAATAAGCTTTTTAAGTAATGGGAACTTTTGTGCTCTACTGGAATTAATTCATCATTGACACCAAGCACAATGCATTTGAAATCTAGCAGTGGTATGGTAAAAGTCTTTAATACTTATGATTGCCTAATAAATCAAAATGCCAAATATGAAGGACATAGCTGAACATACAAGAACAAAAAACTGAATAAGCACATGAGTATTTTTAGATTTTTTTTTGGTTTAACTTAAATATCTCCTTCAAAGGGCATAGGAAGCAAGATCTCTTTTTAAACTAAATGCAACGTATGTTTAAAATGTGTTAATAGATTTTAAGTTGATAACACAATTGTGAAGAGAATTTTTAAACAAGCTCAAAATTTGTTTTCATTAAGAAGCTT